TTTCTTTAAAGCACTAATTGTAATAACAGTTATTATATCTGATAACCGACAAAGAATTACAATTATGGTTTACTTTTCGATTTTAAGATTTGAAATGAGAAAATCAAGATTTTTCGTCATGAATGTTATATAGATTGTATTTTAAAATAAGATAAAGTTTCATTACATTTCGATTACAATTGGTTAAAGTAACTAAAGTAATTAAAATTAAAGGAATTGAATCAATTTTGTTGAATCGAATTGCAAGAATCAAATATTATTAAGAACACAAATCAATATATATATATATTTGGTTTGTGTCCATTATGAACAAGAATCCGGCCAGTATACGAACTTTACTTATAATCTCTGAAATAGATTCACATATTTTTATAGATTAACGCACAATTGTGTTCGACTATTGTAAAAAAATTTTAGTACATTTCACATAAATTTTCTCATACAAATCTAACATAAAATTTATATTTTTTGGCAAATATTCGATTTTGCTTTTACAGTGTCACATATAGTCGAAAAAATTTACGATTAAATTACGACTTCAACTTTTATTCTGCTTTTTTTTTTATAAACATATTATTTGTAAAGATTACACAGCAAAATGCACATAAATTTTATATTGATATTTAAGGTGGGTAAGTATCGATTTATTAACCATTAAATATAATACAAAAAAAAAAATTTTCATTTTCCATTCTCATTGGTATTATGGTTGATTTTCTTTCTTTTCTCTTTTCACAGTGATGCTTTAATTAATTTCCCATTCGAGAGCTCTTAATTTTTCCACCCCTTTAAGTTTTTATATATACTTATTGAAGATATTTTTATTTATTTTTGAATAAAATTATTTCCCTCGATTTAAGCGAGGTATATATTTATACAGAAAGAGAAAGAGAGAGCTATTTTATCTCATAGCTTTTATAAAGGATCTTCCAAGCAAAAAAAAAAATTTTCATTTCATTTTATTGTGATTTTGGAATTTTCCTTATATTATAGACGATGACTGTGTATAAAGGTTTGTATATTATTCAATAATAAAGTAAGTGTGGATGAAATTTTACCTTATAACAATAATAGTCTACAAAAAAAAAAACAAAAATGTAAAAAATTTTGAAAGAAAATCAATAAAAAAAAAAATAGTTTAAAAATAATCTAAAAAGGATATTTTTGGGTAAAAAAAAAATAATATTTTTAGAAGAAAATTTATTTATGTGCAAAAATTCATTTTGGTATTTTCAATATTTCGAGTCATATAGTATGTTATTCAAAATAGATTTAAGCAAGTTCTACTTATAGTATGAAATTGATTGGTTTTGCAAGAAATTGATTTATGTAATTTAATTTAGGTGAATATACTGAAATTTCGAACATTTGACACTATTAGTAAAATTTCTTTATATAAATTAAGTAATATGTAAAGTAAGTAATTCATAGAGCTAAATCCTGTGGGTATGCAATAATTATTGCTTAAAACGCTCAAAGATTTGCTAAACATTAAATCGCAAACATTTGAACAAGACATAACTTATAATATTTAGGATATATGTGTATATAAAACTAGAGAATACAAGTTATTTTATAACACAAACCAATTGTATATTACAAAAGACATTATGCCGTACGTTATATACTTATAAATGAATTTCTGGCTTGAAATTTACCTTAAGAAAAAGAAATTTAGTAATAAAAAGCTTAAAACGTGTTAATCCTTAATAGTTAATGGAATTTGAATAAAAATATATTTATATTTATTTTCAATTTTTTACAATTATTAGCTTTTATTTTCACAGAACTTTTAGTGGTATCCGAATCCGCTAAATATTTAAAGCCATTTTTATTAATATAACGAAAATAAAATATTCCTGTACGATCGATAACGAATCCTGGATTCGTTTTAAAATTAAATTATAAGAAAGCGTCTAATCTTACAATTGATAATAGCATAACAGTTTTATGTGAAATGGAGTGAAATGGAATGAACTCAAATAAGTTCTTTGGATTATTTTGAAAAAATTAATAGGCGGTCAACGTCCTTGTAATTCCTATTGCCAATGTGGTCTATTGAAACTTATTTAGATTTTTTTTTTTAAAATCAAAATTTCTAGGAATTTATAAGCAAAATCAAAAGCGAGCTTTTATTTGTCATATAAAAGCCACAATAAATTTTATAACTAATTTTTTAATTAAGGAATTAAAATTATATAACAATATTGTTCTCAATTAATTTACAACAATGAAAAATAGTAAGAATGGTAAATCTTTAAATTTACAAATTGTACGAGTATCAAAAATCTTGCCAACTTTTCTCTTTTCGTTTTATTAACAAAATTATAAAAATGTTAAACTGACATGAAAACGTAAATACCTCTTGTGTTATACTTATTGTTTTAAAACCTTATTATTAAAAAATTTTCAATTTTCTCAAGATAAAAATCACAAAACTAAAAACTTTGAACAGACAAATATACAAAAATTCTAGGATAATTGGCAAAAACCAAGGAATTGTTTTAGTACTTACCATCTATACAGAGGAAAAAATTAAAACCGTATATTATGAAGTATGACATTATTATATGACATTTCATATTTTTGGAATGACATTTGAATTGAAATGACATTTAGATGACATTAATGTTATTTTTAATTATAATAAATTTTAATATTTTTGTGCATTAATGTTAAAAATTTTTGGGATTTAAAGGATTTTAAAGGATTTTAGGGAAAGCAAAAAACTAAGACGAATTTTACGCATTTCTACATAACGAATTACAAGAACAAATTTATAGCAACTCTTTCAATTAAAATTTAACATATTTTTTAATAATAACCCAAAAAGGAATGTAAAACAAACCGTCTATATCCAATTTTTCTTTTATCTTTTTCTTTATTTTTTTAAATGTAATAGACGAACATAAAAAATAAACCTTTCAGTTATACTTATATAATTTACGGCTTTTTGAAAATTACTTAATGTTCTTAAAAAAATAATGTAAGAATATTTATAGATGACCCCATTATAATCATCATAATACACTTATGTACATTTCGAAGGATAGCAAGAGTATATGCAATTTTTTAATACACAAATCTATTTAAGAATACAATGAAGAAAATAATACATGATTCGTAGTATTTTTCTATTTTTAATGAAGTATACATTGGATAGATCCAAGAGAATGTATTTTTTCTATATAAGCAATTCGATATTTTATCCTTTTTTCAAAAAAAAAATTCAAATTTTCTTTTGCTTTGTTTTCGTTGGAGAAATGCCAAAATAAATTAAGGTTCTAAAGTATTTTAATTCTTTGTTGTCCCTCTTTGTTATATTTTTACTATATACACACCAATGAGGATGAAATTTTATATTAATTATGGGTATTTTAAACTTTGAACAAAAAACTTGCAATATAAGAAAAGTAGAGAAAAAAAAAACAAAAAAATTCTATTGAGATTTTCCATTATTCTTGCGGATATAATAAAGTATTTTCCAAATTTTGCATTTTTTTTTTTTTTTGAAAATTTTAAATATTACGAAAAGGATATAAAGAAAAACAAATAAACAATGAAAACAAAACAAAAGAAGGAGCAAGGGACTGAAAATTTTTTAAAATACCAAATCGATTTGTAAAAATAAAAAATGAAAAGTTTTGTTTAGTTGTTTTGTTTGTTTTTCGTAATTAATTAATATTTAGTGTATTCGACTGATTAAAAAACTTGTTTTTCTTTGTTATGTAAGTATATACTTAAGATAATACTAAAAATACATAAACATTGAGAGTTGAGACGCTGTAAGCTTTAAATGTAAATCAATATTTTTGTTTTTAGATTACAAAAATTTAAATTTAAATATTCGGAAAAAAAATAAGACAAAGGAAGCAGCTAGCTAGTCTGACAGAGAAATTAAAATTTTAATTGCTCTTAAATTATATAAATGAATAATTAATTGAGATAATTTCTAAGACAAAGGGGACTAAAATATTAAATATTAATGTATAATATAAAAGGATATAAAAAGGATAACAATTCAATAAAAATTTAAAATTTTAAAGGAAATCTTTTTTTTTTTCGTTTTTAATTTTTAATTCATTAAATTTTAAAGGTGGTAAAAAATAGGCTCCATTATTGATTTTTAATAAATAAAATATTTTTTTATTACATTGGAATTAATTGAAACAACAAGATTAACTGATTTTTGGTAGTTATATTTAAATTATGGGCCTCATATGAGTTTAAGGCTAGAATTTTAAATTTTGTTATAAAAAAATTTAGAAAATAATTTTTAAAATTCTTATGTGGCCCTTTCAAATACAATGAGAAGGTGAGGTTTGTTTTATTCTTTGTGTTTATTCAAAGAATTTATTTCAAGGTTGAATTTAAAGATTTCTAAAATTTGGAAATGAATTTGAAACTAAGAGACTTTTTCAAATATTTTTAAAATAATAGATGAAATTAGTTCTGCTCTAAAAGAATAATTACTGATAAATAATTGATGGTTTTCATATTTTAAAAAAAAAAACGTTTATTATAAAATATCGCCATTCAAATTGTTCAAGCAGACAATTAATCATGACAAAGCACTCAATTCCATATCGTGAATGCGCAGGGAAAAGTAAAGACCTCGAGGAAAATCTTGATGATTTTTATAAAACTTTCTGAATGCATAGTCTTACAATATTGTAGCCTTATTGGCCTTTCAAGTCTTAAATACATTCTTATTTTTGATATTTTTTGGGATTTTCTGCATTAATTTGGATTTTCTGAAAGTTGGTGGTACATAAGTTGGTAAAATGTCATATCATATAATTTTGACAATTCCAATTTCAAATTCATTTCATAATGTAAATGAATATGTTTGCTTTAAACCGAAAGTAGTATTAAACATATTACCTTGGAGCCAAATTGACAATACAATTTTCTGACGAAGTAACATGAAAATTTTTAAAATAAAAATTAAAAATATTTTTTTTTATAGAAAAAGTAAAATATTATAAAATATAACTTACATTCCAATTTTAAAATTTAAAATATGTAAACGATTTTGGTCCAATTTTAATATAGTTAAACGACTTAATTTAGCAATTCCATCTGGCAATGATTCTAATAAATTTTGTGATAAATGTAAATCAGTTAAATTATCAAGACCACCAATTTCTTCAGGCAGCTCTTCTAGTCTATAAATAAAAAATTAAAAAATAATACAAATAATTTTATTTTATAAAATTATTTATATACGTTACCTATTTTCTGATACATCAAGGCATATTAAATTTTTTAAATTACCAATTTCTGGTGGTAATTTTGTTAATTGATTATGATCTAACCATAATTCCTGTAATGATGGTAAATCACCTAAATGTGATGGTAATTCTTCAATTTCATTATCACCCAAATCTAAACGTTCTAATTTTGTTAATTTACTTATTGATTCTGGTAAATTTTTAAGTAAATTTTCACGTAATTCCAATGATTCTAATTGTGTTAAACTAAAAATATACAAAAAAAATATGAAAATTATTAATTAATTTCGTTTTGATTTATGTAATTTTGACAAATACTTTGTATTTGTAGTGTAGCATTAAAAAATTATACAGCAACTTATGAGAATATTTTAAATGAGTAAATTGTAGTGTACTACAACTATCAAAATATTAAAGTTTAAATATGAAGTTGTCAAAATTTTGTACGCATTAAAATTTACTCAAATTCAAAAGTAAATATTTGAGTATATGAACATTATTATTGTGTACATACTGTGGCACATACAATATAAATATATGAACACAAGGTGAAAGAAAGATAAGAAAGCCTTAAAAAAAATTTTGTGTACTTTTTATTTTTGTGGTCATCCAATATAAATTTTTTTTAGTTTAACTTTATTTGGATTAGTAGCGATTAGAAACAACTTGTAAAACATAATCTGTCAACAAATATTTGATAAACGACGATAAATATCTGTCATAACCTGTTTTGATAAATCTACATATTAAGTAAATGTCTATGACACTGACATACATTCATACATAAAACAAATGTTAAAATAAAAGTTTTCAAGGTTATAGACAAGAAAAAAAAAATGAATTATTTCAATTTATTAGAAAAGTTCAACTTATATAGAGGATTAAGCCCATATAATTCATTTAATATTTACTTATGGCATTATAAAATGATTGGGAGAGGAAGGAAGAGGAAAAAGATTTTCTTATATAAGAATTTCGAAATTAAATTACAAATTTGAAATTTCTTGGGACATTAATAATAAAAAATACAAGTTTTATACTGTTAAGATTTATTTATGATTTGTGAAATAAATTGGAAATATTTGCAAATATAAATGAGTAAAAAATGTAAAACTGAATAATTTTTCAGTGCCTTCAAAAATAATCTCAAACTTTTTTCTGAAAAATTGATCTAGAATTTTCAAGGACTCGGAAATTGCTTCTCGAAATAATTGAAATGATTCCGAAAACAAAAACTAATTCCAAAATAGTACAGTGCCTTCTTGCAACTAGTTAATATTTAATTAATAAATTAAACTTAAAAATTGTAAAAATTTAATTGTTATTTTAACAGTTAAAATTTTTGGTTTTAAAATCTAATACATTTTAATCGTAAAATCAATTTATCTTCAAAAAAATTTTTTTTTCAATGGTTGATCAATTTATCTTTTCAAAAATTTAATTTTGAAAATTAATTGCAACCTATACGAATAGAATCTTTCCCTCCCCAGACCATTTCATATAATTATCCTTGTATTTAAACATACTATACATTTCCTGTTTTTTATTCCTCAAAAATAATCAAACTAATGGAAAATTAATATAATAAAAATTTAGAAAAGAAAATGTTGAGCAAAGTACAGAGATTAACAAAGAAGCTTTTAACCAAACAAAAAAAAAATTTTACTTTAATCATTTAATTTTTTGTTCCCGTGCCATTAGAATCCTGCAAATTGGGTTGTAATAGTACAATAAAGAGGTGATTTCCTTTGCTAAGATATTATAATTGAAATACTGGACCGCTCATAAATTTTTTTGAGTATAGAGGGGAGAAAATGTCTGGTTTTCTCTAAATTTTAATTTTTTCATAATTATTTTTACTTTAATGCTGGTAAAAAAGTTGGTTAAAAGCTTTTCATTGTAATAAAATGTGATATTTATTTAATATGAAAAATCACTGTGAAAACAGAAACGAAGCGCCAACGGTGAGCGACACCGTTGTTAACCCCTAAAAAAGAGCGAAACGATAAAAATATTAAAATATTTTTAACTGTAAAATATTTTTAACTGTGAAATGATGGTATTTTTTATTGATTCTGGGCATTCCCATTTGAATATTTATATTCTATATGAAGTCTGACATTTCGCCATGGAAAATCACTCTTGTTCTGCTTTCAAATTAATTGATATTCTTGACATCCCCTTAAACCATTTAAGTATGGCGGATATTTCTTAAACTTTTTAAGTATTACGGTAACCACGATATTAATCGTTTCTAAAAACTTTGTTATTTTAGGCACAAATCTTTTATATTCGAATTGGTTTGTGTTTTTGATAATAACGTTTTACGACAAATCTTATTTTGATTCCTAAATTAAGCCCAAATATAAGACTTATGATCATATTTTAAGGGCATTTTTTTTGTAACTCAAAATTCTATTGTTGAATACTCTTGATGAATTTACTTTCAACATTCGGATGTACAAGTTTCCCAAGGATAACCATTGTCAACCTGTTCCTATATCTTAATTTTATCATGACTTTTCTTTTTATTATTATAATTAAATTTCTTCTTCAAAGTAAAACTGATCCATTTTGAATTGAATTAAAAAAAAAAATCAGTAAAAATAATTTTTTTTTTTTGGAAAATCCAATAAATATACAAAGCAGTAGGTAAGGTAGGTAAAATATAACTGAAAAAGGAAGGAAAAATGTTGCGAAAAATAAAACTGAATTAATTTTTTTCTCTGCTTGTCTCTCCTCTCCACACCATTCTATGTGACCCCTCTCCCTCTTTATACAAAATTTCCTCATCAACACACACATTATATTCATACTGATTTACGTGGGTACGTCAATAGAATGTCATGTTTCCAGGAAATGCTGAAAGTAATTTTATTTTTATTGTTAAAATGGAAGAAAATAAAGTAAGTATACCAGAAAAAAATAAATGAAATTAATGTAAAAAATTTTAATCATTTATATGTACATACAATATAAGGCACATTCATGTGTTTACATAGCGTATACTCAGGACACAAACAACAACAATAAAGCTTTTTGCTCAATTGTAGGTAAAATACAATTTAGTTCAATCAACGAAACTTTGTTATATTTTTTTTTAATAATCTACGATGATTTTTAAGGATGTCACAATTAAATATCAAAGTGAAGGTCGTTCTTTAACCTGTTAAAAAAATTTGCTTTTCGGTGGATGTTATTTCAATGTAATAAATGTAATGTTAAAATCTGTTACATTGTATTTAAAAAATTACAATTAAAATTATTACAATTGCAAAAAGGATGTATAGGGATGTAAACTGTCAAAAGTACAATGGAATTTGAATTTCGAGCAAAATTACTTTTAATATTGACCAAAATATTTTTTATATTTGAATTTAAATACAGATTTATTATGCTAAATTTGAATTTAAAGTAATTATGCTAACATTTGGTAATTAATTTTTAATGAGATTTTCGAATTTTATTCTTAACCAAAATAAAAACGCGTTAATTACAATTTCCTTCTCCTCATCCTCCCTACGCTTATTTCAAATAATCTTTTTTAAATGTATCTTTTGTAATACAGTCACGTACAAACAATTCTTTACCCATCCTTTAAACATTTACCTTCTATAATACATGACTTGAATATGATGTTTAAAATATGTAGGATAATTATTTAGTTTTAATGCTTTTCTACAATATTACAAATAAAATTAATGTTAAAATTTAGATTTTAAGAACAGAAGGTCTTTTCAGAAAGAAAATATTCAACATTAATACATTGACAAGACGCCATTTGACGTATTCGATTGCATTTTTTGCTTCTCTAAATACCGAAGAAAATTTTTACTAACCACATTGTATACAGCAAGAGAGGTTATATAATCACACCAAATTTCGGATGTCGAGTTTTCGGCGGGAAGGCACTTCTCCATGATAGTGAGGCGTCTATGTCGCTTCTCCATGGTAGCGTGCGTTTCTCCATGGTAGAAAAGAGCTCTGTATGTGGTCGTGCACGCGTGTATACTCGTATCTCAAATTCAACTGAACTGATTATATGTGAGTTTATTTTGGCTATGCCACGAATTGATCAACTTCTGGGATATATCTGTCCTAGAGAACTAGACCTTTTCGAAGATTGATTTTACACTAGTTGATGAATGTTTTTGAAATTTCTGGTAGATTTCTGAATATTTGAATTCTGGTTGTAACCAAAATTAGTTGACGAGCTCTTCAAGGAATTTAGATGGAACAAAACGAAACTCTACTAAAACCCAAAATCAAATTTTTTCTAGGTATGTTAACTAAAAGTGTAAAGGTGTGCTTAAATTTGGAAAGATGTGTTTAAAAGCCATTTTTATAATCTTCTGTAACACTTTTGTCAAACTATAAAATATATGTATATTGTTTGAACTATAAAATATATGTAAATATGGAAAACAAGTGTTATACTGACAATTTGCAAGGATACAATAATGCTTTTGTTCTTTAAAGGAAAATAATATGAAAATGCAATAAAAATTTAATTTATATAAAATACAATAAAAATAAAATTTTATTTCAAATAATATTTCCAATGTAATGTACGCCATTTCATTTTATTATCTATATACCAGGGCGTGTGTGATTTTAATGCAACTTGCTTACTACAATTACGAACAACGAAAAACGACTTTAGGAAGTAAAAGAAATGTAAAAATTGAACAATTTTCATACGTTAAGTAAAAGTTTTCTGAAAATTAAATCATAAAGTGCCTCATATAATAATTAGTTAGTCAAATTCAAAATAAGTATGAGTAAATTTTAGTTCACAATTTAAAGATAAACACATAGTAAGAAATTGAAGAAACGTGCATGTGCTTAGCACAAATTTCTTCGCCCCATATTCAATTCTTAAATGCCGAAAATTTTTTTGATGTGATGAATTTTTATAAGCGTAAACAAATCGTAAAGGTATTGGCGTTCCGCCAATTTAAAAATGATTGATTTTATCAAATTTCACAAGAAGTCAGGAACCTACCACGAAAATTAATTTTTTTATCCTACTGCACTCCTCCATCAACGGGACACTTCTCTACAGAATTGTTCAGGTAAATATTTTAAAAGCTTTGTGAAGTGTAATTGTTCCTTTTTTTCCATTTTTTCCAATTTTCATTTTTAATGCTTTTATAACGTTAATTTAAAAAAAAAAAAACGATTAATATGTTTAACAACTTTTATTGCATTTTACGGCGATCCTTTTTCATGTATATATGAAATAA